TTTTATGGTTTTATCCATCTGATTTTAGTGGTTCTTAAACCCTGCTCTCTTCTAAAAGCCTTCATTAGTGATTCTTGTGAAAACAAGACTTACCTGTAAAAAATTATTTTAGAAAAAAAATTAGATTATAATTTACTGGTAATATCATTGTTCAAAAAATGTAAAATCATTATTTTGTCTATCTGACTTTGTGTTTATGAACCCAGGCCTGTAGTTTAGACTAAAATAATTTCTACATGTTCCATGATGTTTCAGAAATATTCCATTTTTTTAACCCGCATAGGCCGCCATAGAATGAAGCGACCTAGTTTCTTACCGAATGTAAACAGCTAAAAATTATAGAAGTTATCTTATTATTTTCTTACGGTATGTCTATAAATTTGAGATAAAGATTCTGCATTTACAATATCAAAGGTAATTTATCATATACTAAAAGCTCAAGTTGTAATAAAAAAGATAATACGAATGTTGTCGTCTGCACGCCTCTGGAGACCTTAGGCCTAACGTTACGTACATGTAACATGTAATATGCTATGTTTGAGTTTGCGATGTGACAGTATACTATGTATTTTGAAACCTTTGTATCTATAACGCATAAACATTGCTATTTTCAATAAGTTTGAAAGCATTGTAAACCTACATTTTCGCTTTTCCACTGCGTCAACACACTTCGGCGCTCTTGGTTGGCATGTTTGGGTACCGCTTTCGAGAATATTCCTGTAGGCTTAATTGTGATCTCGACAATTTTTTAAATGTTTTAAAATTTCTGTCGGTTGGCTCTTTTAATGGAGTGCCATTCGGCATTCCTGTTGCTTTGAAACAGGCGATCCCGTCTTCTTGAGTCTTCCCCTCTCGATGTCGATTTCACTTGTCCTCGACTTTCTTAGGCCTATGTCGTAAATATCGTAATTTTGCACACGTGTTGGTCATTTATACAACATAGAAAGATTTTTTATTTAAAAATAAATATAGTTAAACATATAAATCATAAAAACTTCTTTGTAAATTGTTATCAGTTTGAATTTTACGACATGTCTAAGTACGAAGACCCACTTGGGGTAAATTGATCAGAAGAATTCATCCTTAAGATATATTTACATCATCTCATAAAAAATGGACATAACGTAAAGATATGTTTACATCACGTAATGATAAATTGACATAATAAATGCATAGTGTTCTGCTATAAGACAGTGATGGCGTTCCATAACCTTACATTCCTTAGGTTATGATATGCTTATTGTGTTTCATTGAGGGAAATATGTCCTAAACTATTGATAAATCAATTCAATTTAGTGTGAATAAATAAATATATATTACCTAGCTACCGCTACATATCACATGTTTACCTCCAAGAGGTTGACCATGCATATGACATATTTTGATAACAACTTGGCATTTGGTTTGAACACTCATATTAAAATAAAACGCAGGCACGTAGCATCGTTTTTGAAAGTGGGGGGGGGGCAACCTGAGAAATTTTTTTTTACTTACCTAAAAAAGTTGACAAGCAGAACAATATCCTTTGGGTGGGGGGTTGGTGGAGGGTGTACTTTTTTATTCAAAGCCAACATCCTTTCACTTCCAATTTTTCCTATATTTCCTTGCTATAAATATACTGTGGTAAAAAGTGGGGGGTCCAACCATCTTTTCAACGGACATTTTCTATAGTAAAGGTAATGTTGGGGAAAAGGGGGGGGGGCAGGCCCCCCTGTTGCTACGTGCCTGAAACGTCAAGACATTGAACGGTAACATTTTGTAGATATTTATTATAGACTTTTCATTAGCTCTATAATAATACTTCATTTTTTTAAGTTGTACAAGTGTAGAAATGCGGTTAAATACGTTTAATCTCATGCTGGTAGTACCGAGAGCGTTCATCTGTTCATGTTTACACACCTATATTGTCAACAATTCTCCTGTTTCTATTACTCAGCGCATCAAAATTGTCGAGATAATAACATTTTATCAAAGTAAAAAAGAAAACACTTACCCCAGACCTGAAAGTATACTAACTGTATTTTAGCCATGTTAATGTTACAAACACGCGACGGACAATATTCTAGTAACAAAAACACGCAATATATCTCTACCCTGACAAGCTGACCTATACTCTGCGTTGCGTTATCTCATTCTTAAAAGAAATCAAACTATGTTCTAATCAATACAGAGATATCTGATTTACAAACTGCGATAATTTAAAGATGTTTGATTTTTTTCTTAAATTGTGATAGAAGTTTGGAAAATTGCTTGTAAGAGTTTAATTAATGCTAAAGGACATACTTATGGCTAAATTTTTTCATTAAATTCCCTATTAAGAACCTTAATTCGTTCATAAAAATTTACAAAATGTAGCCAAAAGATGTATCAATGTACTATAATTGTATCGTAGACAAATTAATTTAACTCTAAATACAAGTTTAATAAATAATATTTAGATGTTATTACTTACAAAAATATCTGACCGTTTTATTCAGTCCAGCCTGAAGATACATTTATAGAAACACGCACATATTCGTCTTAGTATCTTTTAATGAAATAGTTTATTATAGATTAAAGCAACTGCTTTAGACAGTCATGTTTTTTTCTCTGTAGATTTTAAAGTTTTGGTCCCATTTTTTCAGTATATATATATATATATATATATATATATATATATATATATATATATATATATATATATATATATATATATATATATATATATATATATATATATATATATAGTAAAGCCGAGGCACTCTTCATTTTCAAATAATAAAAACAAAGTTTAAGAAAGATCGTGCCATCTTTTAAATAATGCCTGCTTGCACTCTCCCGACTCAAGGTAAAATTATTTGGTCGGAAGGTAGGTGGAAAATCTTTTTCCAGAAAATTTCAATATAACTTCAACTTTTAACGGGATGAAAGGAATACTGAAAAAGAAAACAAATCGTGCCATGGAATGTAAAAACAAGAGGCCCAGGGGCCACAGCGCTCACCTGAGCACGTCGGGCTTGAATTTACTCCCCCCCCCCCTCCAGGCTTTCATCATTTGCATGAACAAACTAGAATCTACACTACCTGAGGATGATTCCATATAAATATCACTAATCATAGCTTTGAAGTACTTGAAAAGAAGATTTTAAAAGGTTTCCCTATATATCCCTATGTAAAACTTGGTTCGGCCATTTTGGCCCCACCCTAGCCACGGGGGTCATGATTTGAACAAACTTGAATCTACACTACCTGAGGATGATTCCACATGAGTTTCATCTTTCCTGGCCCAGTGGATCTTCAGAAGGATTTTTAAAGATATTTCCTATAGATTCCTATGTAAAACTTGGGTTGGCCATTTTGGCCCCACCCTTGCCCCGGGGGTCATGATTTGAACAAACTTGAATCTACACTACCTGTCCTAGTGGTTCTTGAGAAGAAGATTTTTAAATATTTTTCCTATATATTCAAGTCATGACCCCCGGGGGTAGGGCGGGGCCAAAATGGCCGATCAAAGTTTTACATAGGAATATACAGGAAAAATCTTTAAAAATCTTCTTCTCAGGAACCACTGGGCCAGGAAAAATGAAACTCATGTGGTATCATCCTCAGGTAGTGTAGATTCAAGTTTGTTCAAGTCATGACCCCCGGGGGTAGGGCGGGGCCAAAATGGCCGATCAAAGTTTTACATAGGAATATATAGGAATAATCTTTAAAATTCTTCTTCTCAAGAACCATTGAAACAGGAAAGATGAAACTCATGTGAAATTATCCTCAGGTAGTGTAGATTCAAGTTTGTTCAAGTCATGATCCCCGGGGGTAGGGCGGGGCCAAAATGGCCGATCAAAGTTTTACATAGGAATATATAGGAAAAATCTTAAAAATCTTCTTCTTAAGAACCACTGAAACAGGAAAGATGAAACTCATGTGAAATTATCCTCAGGTAGTGTAGATTCAGGTTTGTTCAAGTCATGACCCCGGGGTATGGGTGTGGCCAAAATGGCCGACCAAAGTTTTACATAGAAATATATAGGGAAACCTTTTTAAATCTTCTTTTCAAGTACTTCAAAGCCAGGATTAGTAATATTTGTATGGAATCATCCTCGGGTAATGTAGATTCTAGTTCGTTAGAATTATGATCCCCTTGGGGGTTAAAATTCAACCCCCCCCAACTTAAATTAACTTTCAGTTCTGATCTGAAGTGTTTTTTCCTAGCTGATGTGCTCAGGTGAGGGCTGTGGCCCCTGGGCCTCTTGTTTAAAGATTTTTCCTATATATTCCTATGTAAAACTTGGGTTGGCCATTTTGGCCCCACCCTTGCCCCGGGGGTCATGATTTGAACAAACTTGAAGCTACACTACCTGAGGATGATTCCACATGAGTTTCATCTTTCCTGGCCAAGTGGTTCTGGAGAAGATTAAGATTTTTAAAGATTTTTCCTATATATTCCTATGTAAAACTTGGGTCGGCCATTTTGGCCCCACCCTTGCCCCGGGGGTCATGATTTGAACAAACTTAAATCTACACTACCTGAGGATGCTTCCACATGAGTTTCATCTTTCCTGGCCCATCGGCTCTGGAGAAGAAGATTTTTTAAAAATGCCATTAATTTTTAACAAATTTATGATTATCTCCCCTTGGAAAAGGGCGTGGCCCTTCATTTGAACAAACTTGAATCCCCTTCACCCAAGGATACTTTGTGCCAAGTTTGGTTGAAATCGGCCCAGTGGTTCTTGAGAAGAAGATGAAAATGTGAAAAGTTTACGACAACAACGACAACAACAACGACGACAACGACAACGACAGACGACGGACAAATTTTGATCAGAAAAGCTCACTTGAGCCTTCGGCTCAGGTGAGCTAAAAACAGCTTTAAGTCGGACCATTTTTAGTCAGTTGATCGAGAGAGGACAACCACACTTTTTTTTAAAAATGGCCTTCCCTAAAATAGAATGTTTCTGGTCTGATTGATTGAACAGTAATGGATCTACTTTTTTTCAGAAAACAAAACTAGTTAAAATATGTATTTCCTCAACCAATTTATTTTGCATGGTGCATTTATATTGCCACTAACAGTCAATGCACTATTTTTCTCCAATTATTTTGGAATACAATATTAAAGAATAATTCAATGCAAGAACAGTATATCAGCAATTAAAGTCCGATTGTATGCGTTGTTGTCTACAGATATCCATTCCTCTGTGGATTAGGTAACACGCGCAATATTTTCTACCTAAAAGAAGAAGAAAATCAAATCATGAACACTTTTAACATCATTCTTCTTGATAGAATGTTTTTTATCATTTAATTGGAATAAAAAATACCACTGAATACTTAACTTTACAATGTTTGAACTTTAGTATAAACAAAACAACAAGGCATTATAAATTACAGTGCTTATAAATTACATTTCTCTGCGACACAAATAATATTCTGTCCATTGATTTAGTGATAATCTAAAGTTTCACTGTGTAAATTATCTCAAAATTATTTAAATTTTCTCTAGTGCAAAAATGGTAAACAAGTTATCCTGATGTAAATAAAATAGACATAGGGAAATATGATGGTAAAACTTTGGCCAGTTAGATGCTTAATGAAAGATTAAAAATAACATGCAAGAATCTGATCTGTTTTTTCTTTTTTCTACCTTTTATTCAATGTATTTAAGTTCAAAAGTTCATTCAAACAATATAAATCAAAAGCAGAGCAAAAAAAAACTTCAGAGGTGGGATCAGTAGTCATTAGTCATAGGGGAGTGAGCATCCTCTGCCGACCGGTCGCTTCCGGTGTGCTCCTTTTTATGATTGAAAAATAAAAGGGAAAAATCCGTCGAAAATTCAGTTTGTAAATGATATTTAAAAAATAGCAAGTCAACATTTCACTTACTGTTCACAAGGCCACGAGATCATGGTATCGACCATACAAATGATAGCTTAAAATAAAACAGTCGATTTTCTTTTTTCATCAACTTGTTTGTCAATAAGTTTCCTTTTTTATAAATTATTCATAGGTATAGAGAATGCTCTTGCATATCGAATCAACTGAGGGATACAAACTCTTGAATACCTTTCTGGCAGATTTGATCACTGCTTTCCATTTCCATTGATCTTTATTCCTTTGAAGTGCTCTGTTGCTCTTCGTTTCTGGACTCCTGGTCTGTTCATCATACGATTATGGTAGGCCTTGAGTGAGGGAAAAGCATCCAGACAGGGGGGAGATAAGGTCACCAGACAGTCCAAAAGGTCAAACAGATTATAGTCCGTAAAGCAAACCTGTAACCAAATCGAAATTAGTGGAGAACATGTAAATCCACATCAATTATAAATTTGAGTTTAGTAGAATATTTTAATTCTTTAATGGAAATATGTCATTTAAGTTTTTTTTTGTATGATATTTAATGCCCTTCTCGAGAATTTTTCACTCATATGGAGACTCCATCACTTGCCGACGCAAATATTAACCTATGCTTGGCACTCTGGGTAATTAAACAATGAGGATCCATTTTCGTGCCAGCACAGAATCTCGATTTACAAGTCTATTGCGACACAGAATCTCGATTTACAAGTCTCATCCATAGAATTGGTCTCCACATCCCGCAGTTGATTCGAAGCACTTTATTCGGCACCCAGCGCGCAAAAGGTGTCTTTCACATGCTATTTATTGCTTCACGAGATCTCTGTACATACGGTCTAACCAACTCCCAAGGTCCCGCAGTGGGATTCGAAAAGCAAAGCAAGAATCAGTACTGGATTTTCTGCGCAACTCTAGAGAACAGCTTCAAAACACTGTACTTGTACAAGACAGATAAAATAACATGAACTTAAATCGAATCTGAAGTTCTTTGATATAAAGAAGCAGATTCAAAACTAGAGCAAAGCTCGTTGCAAAGCAACGAGTAGGTCTTCCGTCCTGTTTCGACCGGAAGTGACGTCAACAAAAGAAAGCAATGAGCTAAGTCGTCTCTAGTCACTTTATAATTTCAATTTTGCATCAAAACCTTTAAAAATAAGCTATTTTTGGCTACTTCCGCTTTGACCGGAAGTGATGTGGACGGACAGAAAAATTAAGTTTTATGCTTCCAGTGACATATGTTACCCAAAAACTTGTCAAGAAGGCAAAAATATGCATTTTCTGACGACTTCCAGTTCAACCGGAAGTGACGTCGCCGGAATCATTTTGACGACTTCAATAGATTAAGCTTGACATTTTGAACAACTTTGTTTCTTAGACGTATTACAAATTCTCAATACTTTTTGAGATATCTGGAAAAAACTTTTGGCCCCTCTAGATCCCTTAATTTAGGGGTCAGCCCTTTTTCCGAGATATCATTTGAAAGATCTTGTAATTCTGCACAAATTTTGTTCTATATGTCTTAACAAAATATTTTTAGTTTAGAAGATAAAAAGCAAAATATGAGTAATTTTTAGCTCTTTTAAGCGTTCTAATTTTTGACCCCTATATAGCGCCATTTTGAATAGAGAAATCGAAAAATAAAAACCGATGTGCACAACTTCAATCCTTCTATTATCTAAAATCAGTAGAATTTCTGCTCCAGCTTTAGCCGTCTCTGAGCCTTTGTCTGGAAACGAAAGCCTATCAATTTTCCTTTAAAGGGAAATAACTCAAAACCGGAAGTGACTTTTTGAAATTTCTGACATCATTCTGATAGAGTTAAGTAACTTCTAGTATCTCTGAAAATTTGAGCGAAATCAGTTGAGAAATGAGTGAGATATGAGGCTTCAAAGTTGGCGTCTAGGAAGTAGAAGAAAAAAAAAGAATAACTAGAGCCGAGCTCGTTGCAAAGCAACGAGTAGGTCTTCCGTCGGAGCTGCGGACAGGGAGAAATGACCTTGGGTCAAGGTCATGCCACGTTCTAATGTTAAAGCAATCTTTTAAGGGTAAATGTCATCTTATTTATGTTTTACTATTAAACAGATAGTGAAGGAATGTTTGCGACCTTGACCTTGTTAAAATGACCTTACGTCACACCATGACACACGCTGGTGATAAGCAAAGCCAATTTGTGTGCTACCGTATTGACGAATTCTTAAGCTATATTTTTTTCGATAGGCCTTGTCAAAGCTAATACGTATATACATGTGTAAATCTAGGTATGAAAGCGTTATCCTTTCTTTATCAAAAGTCATGGTCAATTTTAAGCAATGTTTAAAGCCGGTTAAACTTCAAGGTCAAAGTTCATTATATGCTAGTATTTGAAATGATTTTATCACAGGTTACATACATTTGATTTTTGTGTAATACGAAATCCCTATCTCTTCTCATTCAAAAGTTATGATCAAGATTAAAATTGTGAAAAGTAAGTCAAGCCTCAAGGTCAAGTTGTCAAAATCAGCATATCGGTATTTAAAAAAATGTTGTTACGGGTAATACACAGTGGTAAAATAAAAGCCCTAATCGATCTCTTTTCTCTCAAAAGGTATGACTATGGTTAATGTTTTTGAAAAGTGGGTCAAACTTCAAGGTCAAAGGGTCAAAAATCATAATGAATTTTCAAAGGCGTTGACACAGGTATTACATGTACATGTTTATAAATGAAAGCTTTCAATACTTATGGTCAATTTAAAGTAATGTTATTTTTTAAGTAGGTCAAGCTCCAAGATCAAGGTCACGGGGTTAAAAATCGCAGTATATTTGAAAATCACATGTCACAAATAATGCACATGTGAAATATGAAAGCTCTATTTCAACTCATACAATAGTTATTATCAAGTTTAAAGTTCTCGTGACAGATGGACACTGTCAGACTGGTTGACAAATAAGGTTTAATGTACCCTAATAAAAATAAATACACGTTATTTGAACATGATAAATTGAGAAATACGAAGAATAAAAAACTAGAAAATATTAGAAAAAATTGCACTGAAGCTATATTCAATATCCGTGTTTTTCAACTGCTTGAATCTAAAAATATTATTTACCGTGTGCCTCTAACACATTCCTTAAATTTTTCTACAGTTAAACATTCCTTACAACCGTTTTTAATAGTCTCCTTCTGAGCCTGAACTTGAGATAATATGGATGGCACAGTAGCTCTCTGGTGACCCATCTCAATTTTTTTTAGAACAGCTAGCGAGCTACAGATCTGCAGCATGACAATTGTCATAAAGTTAATTTTACAAATTCATTTGAAATGTAACAGAATTGAATTTTATGAAAAAAATTATTTCTAATGCTTATTTTTTACATATGCTAAAATTATTTTCCTATCAATTTAAGTTAAGACAGTAAAAAGGAATTTGTCACTCAGTATTTATCTAAGGAATTAGTGTCAATTCTCAACCTCAAAGAGCGTTCGACTTGTATGATAATTGCATATGTGTGATAAAACTGCCGTGGATTATCCCGGACGTGAACATTAGATGTACTGGACGTTCCGTCATCAAGAAAATATATTTTTGCTCTGGACTATTCCGAGTTACCAAAACGTTTATGTGTATGTCCATGTGTGAGTGTTTCAACCTGTCTTTGTTTTATGTGACTTGACTTGATTTATTTTTCAAAATACAAACTTTAACGTTTTATTGCTTGACTTTTGTTTTATAAATCACTTGTGTTACTGTCACCAATTATATTCTATTAACTTTGTTTAATTGTCGGAAATGCAATGCAAAATTCAGGAAATCAAATGCAGCGAAAACTGGTAACCCCCCCCCCCCCCGAAAAAAAAACTAGTACATGTAGACGTACATGTAAACACTTCGATGCTCGATTGTACACTCTAGAAATTAAAAAGTTTATGAATAAAAAAAGTTTAGTGAGGCATACTCATCTTTGCCGACCTTTTCTTAAATTTATTTGACAACATGCGAATTAAAAACAATATCGCGTATGATTTTTGGTTAATATTATAATAGGTTATGGAGTAATCATGGATTTCATCACCAGCCCTGGCCTGCCATTCTCGACTCTGAAGGAAAGCACTGTATCATTTCAGGGGGGTTACGTATCGCAATGAGAGGAAATTTAATAATCCCAGCGCCTTTTATTCATTCGTCAAAGAATAGAATCAGACATTTTTATCTTTTAATACTCGTACATGTTCAAGAAAACCTTTATATTTGTGTCTAGAAATATTCTTACGATTTACGCAAATAACAAATTCTTGATTTTAAACTGAGTAAATCGATGACTAGCATCGTTTTAGATAACTCTGGGCGTAAAAATCAAAGAGCGGTAATGTTGACCTCCGGAATGTATATAGGTCAATGCATGCGCGATCGATAAACAGGTTGCACATCTGTAAACAAAACAGTCAAGGTCCGAGGAAAATTCACGATGCATGAATAAAATGACAGTGAATTATTTTAAGCTTGATTTTTTTTTCTTTATAAATAATGCAACATTGAGTATCAATCGAATGAGAGATGATAAGTATTTTTCCTATCTCCCGTCTTGTAATTCAAACTAAATACAAGGAGAAAGTTGTCTCTGAATAATCTGTATGACATCCAGCAAGAGAATACGTTAAAAACTTTATTTCAACAAAGTTTAACATTCAGTTTAGTTCAGTATATTATTCTTATCCAGTTTATTTCAGTTATACGTGTTATACGCGTACGCATAAAGAATTCTTCACTTGCCGTATAAAATTAATCAGTTACCTGTACATAAAGTTTGCTGCTCACTCAATAACAAAAGATTCGAACAAAATAACGTTTTCATGAGATCAATAAGATGTTAAAGAACCCATTTCAAATCGATAACCATATCGAATATTTACCGTTTTTGAGTTATAATGCAAAAACTTTCATGCTCCCTTGACCCCTAATTTGAGGGGCCAGCCCCTTTTTAATGATGTCAAATGATAGATCTTAAAATTATGCACAATATTTGTGAAATATGTCTTAACAAATTATTTTTAGTTTAAAAGATACACAAGGAAATATATGTAAAATTTGGCGCTTTTAGGCATTCTCATTTTTGACCCCTATCTAGCACCGTTTGGAGCGCAGAAATCGAAAAAGAAAAACCGATGTGCACAACTTCAATTCTTCTAGTATTTAAATGCAGCAGACATTCTGCTCCAGCTTTTGTCGTTTAAAACCTAATCAAAAAAAAAATATGATCAGCGTTGTCAAATATTTATTACTTATGGCATGTTTATTTCAATTATACGCATAAAAAGTTCTCCTTCAATAGCAAAATGAGAACGGTGCCATGTTTACGGATCTACATTTCTTTCTTACCATACGTAAGACTCGAACAAAATAATATTTTCATAGGATAGAAATGATATAAAGGAACAATTTAAAATCGACAACCATATCAAAATATTTACCGTTTTTGAGTTATAAAGCAAAAACTTTCAAGGCCCCTAGATCCCTAATTCTAGGGGCCAGCCCCTTTTCAATGATATCAAAGGAAAGCTCTTGCAATTATGCACAACTTTTATTCAATATGTCTTAACAAAATATTTTTAGTTTTCAAGATAAAAGGTAAAATATGTGTAATTTTTCGCTCTTTTATGCGTTCTAATTTTTGACCCCTATATAGCGCCATTTTGAATAAAGAAATCGAAAAACAAAAACTGGCATGCACAACTTCAGTCCTTTTATTATCTAAAATCAGTAGAATTTCTGCTCCAGCTTTTGTGATCTCTGAGCCTTTATCTGGAAATGAAAGCCTATAAATTTTCATTTAAAGGGAAATAACTCAAAAGCGGAAGTACTTTTTTGAAATATTAGACGGCTTTCTGATAGAGTTTATCGATGTGTATAATGACTGAAAATTTGAGCAAAATCCGTTGAGAAATGAGTGAAATATGAGGCCTCAAAGTTGGCGTCTAGGAAAAGGAAAAAAAAAGAATAATAAGAATAATCTTAATCATCAGAATCAGTAGAAGGTCTTCCGTTGGAAACGGAAGACCTTAATAATCTTAACCATCAGAATCAGTAGAAGGTCTTCCGCCTGAGCGGAAGACCTTAATAATCTTTACCAACAGAATTAGTAGAAGGTCTTCCGTTGGAAACGGAAGACCTTAATACCCTTTAGGTTTTTTTTAGAAAAGGGGGAAATCCAGAAAACGAATTATGATGGTATGAAAATGGGTAGTACATATAGATAATATAATACAGATATTTCATATTAGGGGCAATTTTAATAACATTTATTGAAAAAAAATTTTTACATGTTGCTTTTAATTTTTACTAAACAATTAAAGCAGCAGATTTTCAGATACAAACCTTGCTTCCCAGCACATAATCTCCACCTTTCATTAAGTTCTACAAGATAAGGTAAAAACGAACAATGTTTGCTTTTTTAAAAATTTCGTTCAACATGTTGTCATATCTCTTTAAGCAGCGCATGTTCATGTTTGGGTTTGGAAACTTAATGATGTTTCATAATATCATAGTAAGAATTTTTTTGATAAAGTTGAATTGTAAGACTGGGCAAATAAAACAGTAGTCTTTGCACATTAATGTAACAAACCTCAAAACACTGTAGTTTTCCAGGAAGCTTTTCAATAAATGGACCCTTTCCGTCCTCCTACAAGAAAAAGCTAAACATTGATATATGTCATTGTATCAACGTGCAATCCTATCGGACGTCAGAATCAAAAAATTAACAACACAATGAAATGGAACTGTCATGTAAATTTTAAATATTTTACAGATGACACTATATAAAAGAATTTGTCTTGTAAATGGAGTACTTAAATCAGTCCGGTAAATTCAAAATTTGCAACATGAAAGTAGTGTAATAGATTTAAAGAGGATTTGAATTCACTTCATTTTTAACATCAAATTTTCTGCTAGGTAAGGCATCGTCTCTCTCCTTATATGGATAGACTTTCCTTTATATATCATATATCTAAGAAGATAATGCTGTGAAATGAAATTCAATCAACGTATCATGCAGGAAAATCTGTGTAGCAGTGAAACACTATTTCTTGAAAGCTACTCAAAAGAATTTGCAAATTTTAGCATACATGTCAGAGTCATTTTCTTATTGATAGAACCATGTCCACTGTGCTATTTGAGCTTTTGGTTTTTACAAAGGAATAATACTTGCATAGTTCTGATAAATCATTCTTGTATATTCTATTCTAAGATCTTCTGCACCATCATTAATCATGTCAGCTCGTGTTGCTTCCTTGTTGTTCGAACCATATAGATCTAAAGAGTATCAGAAAAGTAAAATATAATCGAGTAATACGATTACTGTAAGCCTTGTATATTTCCATAAAGCAACTTTAATAACAAAATGTTTCTGCTGCAATGTTGTAATAATGTATATCAGTGACATAAAAATTACCTACAACCTTCTTTTATTGGTATTTGCGATGAAATAAGTATTTATAAGCTTTAATTAAAAGCAAAATCACACGTCATTATGTCATCCTGTACAATATTGATTTTTTTATATAATTACTATATATTCCCTTGTACAGAAATTTTCCTTCTGAACCAAATTAATTCAAAATTTAGTCTAATTGATCATTAATGTTCCATGAGCTTTATCATAACAGCAAATTTTAACAGCAAAATAAAATGCTCAAAAAATGCAGCTCATATTGTTTTGACTTTATAGATAATGAGAACACTTGAATTATTTTTTTTATTATATAACATATGCTAAGTTAAAGTTATATCTTATCAATTTATAAAAAATTTAATAATCCTGAAAATATCGACCTGAACATTTAAGCAAATAAAATATGATAAAAATTATCTGTTTAAGGTTACATAAACTGTATTTGAACGAGATCACCTAGATTATTGCGAACTGTTACAAGGAATATTATCACTTAAAATCACTTGTATGCGCTGCATAACATTTTATTTTAAGTGTATTATCATAACCGGGTCAACCTCATTCTGGACTCCAGCCTTAATTTTTGTTATTTCCCAACCAGCAAAGGTTTAGGAAGGCAGAGTCCCGAATGACATTGGGCCGATCATGCCTAGGTTTGTTATCCACCAGGATCTTATTAAATTCCGCAGTGAGAGGTAAACCAACTGAACAACTCTTTTACTCCTCTGTTGACCAGTGACCAATTATTTACGAAAGCTCTTACTTCACCCCTCTTGGAAACTGGTTTGCCTGTATAAATACAACAGAGAATACAACTCGTCGGAATTTCTCTTTATTTTTACAATCCATTTTATATTTTAAACAACTTCATTCAACACAATAAATAGTACAAGAAATATTAAACATTATAAAATATCTTGTCCTGTAAAGAAAATGAGCCAACTGAATCTTAACAATCTGAAACTTAGCTTTTATTAAAATTATTTACCAAAACTTGTAAAAATCTTTTACCTGTATAAATACAACAGAGAAGACACCTCGTCGGAATTTCTCTGACGAGAAATCTTTCCCCGTCGCATTTATACTACTCCTGTGTAAGAGCTCCGCCCTGACCATATTTGTTATTTTATCAAAATTTTCAACTACAAACATGAATTTGCGACTTGAATTTTTACTTACACTTCTGTACCTCTTTATCCTTTTGACTTATGAAATACCGTTTAAGATTCATATTAAACTTCTTGCAAAATCTTAACTTTTTATCATTTTATTGATAATTTATTCCAATGGTTGACCTTTCGCCTGTTACGTAGGATTGGCTGTCCCTTTCCCTATGACCAAAAATGACCTGACGAAATCAAGTTTCATCACCCTCATGCAACCACTCTCACCGCATTTCTCAGGTGATAGGTTCACTCAGCATCTTTGACTATTTTTATCTGATACTAGGAAATATCGATCCCCTCGTGTCCTCTCGTTTCTCTCACACACTAATTGTCCCCCGCTTTCGCGAAAGCGAGGGGACATTAAATCTCATTCGTCTGTCCGTCCGTCAGTCTGTCCGTCCGTCACAAAAACTTTAACCTTGCCCATAACTTTTGATTTAGTGGAGCTATAATTTTCATATTTCATATGTGTATTCCTTGTGATAAGACCTTTCTTTGGGTACCACCAAATTTGACCTTTTGACCTTGAAGTTTCAACTACTTTTACTAAAAAATTCCAAACTTTTACTTTGGCCATAACTTTTGAATGGTAGGTAATAGGACTTTCATATTTCACATATTTATTCTTTGTGACAAGACCTTTCAATAAATACCAACAACTTTGACCTTTTGACCTTGACCTTGGAAATTTACGTACTTATGAAAAAACTATATCTTTGATCATAATTTTGGAACGGTAAGGGCTACGGCTTTTATACTTCACATATTTTATTCTTGTAAGAAGACCTTTCATTGGATACCAAGAACTTTGACTTTTTGACCTTCACCTTGGAGTTTTAACTACTTTTTAAAAATTATAACCTTGGTCACAACTTTTGAACGGTAGATACAAGGACTTTTATATTTCAAACATTTATTCTTTAAGCCAACACCTTTCATGGGATACCAACAACTTTGACCTTTGGACCTTGACCTTGGAGATTTACGTACTTCTGAAAAAACTTTAACCTTGACCATAACTTTTAGACGGTAAGGGCTAGGGCTTTCGTACTTCACGTATGTGAATCCTTGTGAGAAGACCTTTCATTGCATGCCAAGAACTTTGACCCTTTGACCTTGACCTTGGAGTTTTAACTACTTTTTAAAAACGTTAACCTTGGTCACAACTTTTGAACGGTAGAAACTAGGACTTTCATATTTTAAATATATGTATTCTTTATGGCAAGATCTTTCATGGGATACCAAAAACTTTTACCTATTGACCTTGACCCTAAAAATGATATCTTGCCCACAAAGATACCGAAAGCGGGGGACCACAATTCTTTGAATTTGCTTGTTTGTTTCTATTTTTAAGCAGTTCTTGTTATGATACTAGGAAGTGAATGTCCTCTCGTTTCTCTCTCACACAAATTTCTGTTATATATTTATTTTTATGCAATTTTTGTTATGATAGTATCTGCAGTTGTATTGTTTTGTTTTGGCAAAAGACAAGACAAGATCACACTCACCCAGTTTTCTAGCCAGATATCTCAGAATTGCGTTGGATTGTACGATTTCTACGTCTCCATCTTTGAAGAATGGACTCTGGCCAAAGGCCTGGAACAATAAATGATACTGTTAATTGATCATTTATATGAGGTTTACTATTTTATTCAAGCTGCTGCATTTCTATGTCCCCGTAATCGAAATTCGGGGGTATAAAGTTTTCCCCTGTCCATCCGTCTGTCTAGCTATTTGTATGTTTATCACAAAAAATATATTCTTGTCGGTAATTTTTGATTGGATGGAGGTATGACGTTTATATTTGACATTGTATTCTTTCTTTGAGTAACAAAATACTTGTCCTCTGGTTCTTAATCTTGACCTTGAAGTTTGGCCCATTTTTGCAAAAATCTACGAAATTTACATCTTGGCTATAACTTTTTAATAATCGGTGATAGGGAGTTCGTACTTCATATATGTACAAGTTTTCCTTGAGAAAAAAACCTTTCCAATTGTATAGATATTTAACTTGGAATTGGACCCACTTGAAGCATCTTTATTCTTGTTCATAAATTGTGAACAGTAAGAACTATAGCTGGGGTTTTGAATTCCATAGGTGTATTCCTAGTGACAATGTCTTACTTACAATTGAAAGCAACAATTTTGATCTTGATTTTCTTTTTAAAAAGTTTAAAGTTGTAAATGAAAAGAAATTGTGACAAGCCATACTTGGATACCAAGGAATAGTAACTTGACCTTGTAGTTTGACTTACTTTTTAAAAAAAAATTATCTTTGTTAAGGTCAAGATCTAGTAAATGAAGGGTGCCTACAGATTTATCAAATTCAAGAAATGAATTCCTTTAATGATGCTTAATAAGTTTAGCTTGGTCAAAAAATGTGTATCGGGGCATAATTTGTAGGAAAATAAGATGAAAAACCATATTTTAAACTGTCATTTTCAATGAAAAATTAAGAAAATTAGTCATGAATATGGGAGTTTTTTCCATATCACACAAACAAAATATATCCAGATTGCCTACAGTCTTTCAGAAAACGGTAATTTGTATGTTCTTGGTCTCTTCTTTTAAATAATGTTAAATTGAATATAGGTATCCGGACTACTTTTCAGGTTATTTCAAATTGAATTCCATGAAAATACTTTATTTTCTACATAATTCTATTAGAGCCGTAAAGTACGGGAAAAAGAAAGTTGAAAGTGATTATGACGTCATAATGGATCTAGCCCCAAAAAGTTAGTCTAAAGTTATTTACTAGATCTTGACCTTAACGCCGTTAAAGTTTTGCCGACAAGTAGACAGATTGATGGACAAGACAAAATTATTATAGTATATATATTCCTCAATCATCGATTTCGGATAAGCAATGAATTTTTGTGAAATTTGGCGGACATAGATCTAGTTCTTCTGGGAAATACTGAACAAACATTACCATGTCTAAAAATGGGATTAAAAAAAACTTCTCATTAGTTAAATGTTCTGTTGTATAGCGAATTTATATCTAAAACAATTCACTTTTCCGAAACATTCAATGTTAATTAATAACAAAAAGTTTCATTTAAAAAACAATAAGACTGACCATTTTTGGTTTCCATTCCTGCACCCAGTTAGGACCACAATCAACTTCCTCATAATCCACATTGTTGTCAACCATAAGAGTCCTTATTGACTCACCACGACCTGAAAAAATGTTCTTATTAAACACTTCACAGAGATAATGACATGTATTAACCGAATTATTACAATGTTTTCAGTGTACAATTAATGAAAAAAAGCCTTGATCATGAATTACAAGTACGCTCCTTCATTTTAGGCCAACTGTAGGCACTTCTAAGGCACAAATGAACTTTTCTTTGTGCATTCAAAAAGCTAAATATGACATCCTTCATAAAGCATACAATTATAATTTTTAATTTTCGATTTTATCTTTTCAATATCGTTTAATGGATTTTAAGGGGGGAGGAGGGGGTTAGAGGACACTTGTCTAGGTTACCGTGGCCTGCACGTGAGTTTGAGGAAGAACGATTTCCATGACCTAGGATAAGAGGAAACATATAACTTATAAAGAAAAAAATCTTAATTTAAATTAGAAAGAAATAATATCTGAACAGTAAATAAATATGTAAATTAATTAATGAACCAATTTAAATTCGTTGATAAAGCGGGGTTGTTTCTTCCCCTGGACAATTATAATTATTAATTATGTTCATACATAGTAGTAAAGTATTGTCTTCCACGAACTTTTATTAAAATGCATAACACCAAATATTATATTTTAATTTAAAAAAAATGTATGTGAAGACAAAGTTACGAGGTGCTTATCATTTTTTTTGGGGGGGGGGGGGGGGGGGCTGGAGAAACTTAACCGTAACATTACCATATGAATTAAATAAAAATTAGAGGGTAGTGGTGGGGGTTGATATTTCCTTTCCCCCAGTATGCATTTTTTTTTCACCATAGATTAAACTGAAAACTCACAGCTTGCAAGGATTTCCGTACTTACATATACCTGTAAATTAATTCATGAAATAATAATAACGGGTTTATTTTTATCATAAAACTAATATAAACATTGTCAATACTCCACAGTGTAGATATAAATTACTTATTCTTTTTCTAAGGTTATCATACAAACATCTCTCATGGTGAATTTGTATGGATTACATAACCAAGGGACTTATTCTTTTTCTAAGGTTATCATACAAACATCTCTCATGGTGAATTTGTATGGATTACATAACCAAGGGACTCTGAAAGGAGGGTCAACTAGGTGTAGCTGGTTTAAGACAGAATAGACTATTTATAACGACATGTTCAATATAACTCGTAAGCATGGAAATCAGTGCAGGATCGGTCCATTACAACACATTGTGTTGCCCTCGAATGGATTTAAAGAAATAATGGGTACAACATATTTACCTGTACAATCACAGGGGCTTGTCACGAAATATTTTTCTTTTAATAAAGTTACCCCTACTATGAAAAATACACACTTGTGTATTTTTATAGTAGGGGTAACTTTATTAAAAGAAGATAAATATTTCGTGACAAGCCCCTGTGGTACAATATCCATGATATCTATTATGTATCTAATAATAACACTAACAGCATCATGCATATATTTATTTTTTCATAGTGCACGGATGAACGAAGGTCTAGTACAGTATGCGTTAAAAATAACGGAGAAATCTGCATGTACGTTATTGCAGCTACTAATAAACAAATGTAACATCATTACACATTCATGTACAATGCAGTATCACGCGCCTAGAGTGAGGTTTAATCTTACACGAGTTGTGTCGACAGCTAAATTGATAAAAGAAAAAAAACATGCCATTGAATAATTCGTCACAATGGGCATGATCTTTATCTATTGGTACATCCGTACAAACCTGACAAATCGAAATAATAAATGGAATGCATAATTAACATGCTTGTACTTACCTCTAACCTGGAAATACACTAATTGTATTTTTGCCATGCTTGTGATACGAACTCGTGGAGCACAATACCGGTATTCTAGTGACAAAAACACGAAGGTTTTGCCATAATCAGTTGACCTACTTTCCGCCGCCGCTCAGTTCAAACAAAATAATTTTTAAGCATGTTAAAATTGTTTGCTCTCTGCATGCTGATTTAGGATTAAAAATCGTGGTCGATTAGTATGTAGAAAAAAAAACCTTCCCAGAATTTTTCAACATCAATGCTGAAAGTTTATTAAAACTGAATGTTTTGATAAAATTAAGATAAAATTGTTGTCAGTATGAGCAAGTCCGAAATGAAAAAAAAAATTATATTAGTTCCTGACAATCTAATTTCAAAAAAAAAAATCCTGCTACTGTTTTGAAAAGCAATTCAGAGGATTTTAGATTGGTTTCCTGTAGGAGTTGGGTTATTTAAAAAAAATCAAAAGAAGGAAAACAAACCATTTTACAAAATTGTCTGGGATCATCTCTTTTATTTAAACTATTGTTTTTAAAAAGTAGGTAAGTTCTATAATGGTATTAGCTCATAGACGTAAAAATGTTGTATTTAACATGTTTAATGCAGCAATAATAAACAAGAATTGAAGATAACTCCAATTCATACAGAAGCTTTGATCGAATGAAATTATATTTTTATTCACCGTGGATTAATGGAATTATATCAGTAATAAATCTTAAATTTGCATACACAGTAGTATGAATCTCAAACTTGGAACAGTAGAATATAGAAAGGACTCCATATATATAGAAAAATGGTGAAAAGCCGAATCCGGTAAGTCCTTGTTTAATATGTTTAAAGAATAAAAAATACATTTTTTTTGGTCTGAGTATATTCTATAGAATGTCATTTACTGATTCTGTATTATGAAAAAAAAGCTCAAGATATGTATTTCTCTTATACACGCGTTTTCAATATGTATCTGAAAATATCCAATTTTCCGAATCAGAAATTAAAATCATCTGTATTTTTTTTTCATATGTTAAAATGTGTCTATTATTCTTCTCAAATAGAGAATGGTGGGAAATACATAAACAAGAGGCCCATGGGCCACATCGCTCACCTGAGCACTGTGGCTGGGAAAAAGTGGAAATCGGATTATTATCAAATAGTTTATATCCAATTGAGAATAGAAGTGAGATACAGTAATTTGGACATTAGTTTTAACAGAGGATTGTTACCAATACATGTTGTAATGTAATAAATTATCATTTATAAGGCACATTTTACAACAACTCTTAAACTAACATAACTGCCCTAAGTGAAGAATTATTAATATAGAAAGCACAAAGAAATTCACTTTTACATTATGTTAGTTTAAGAGTTTTTGCAAATTGTGATTTATAAATAATTATTAATTTCATTACAACACGTATTGGTAACAATCCTCTGTTAAAACTTATGTCCAAATAACTGTATCTCACTTCTATTCTCAATGACCGTGTGGTGTAGGGCAGCGCCGCGAGAATTCCATCGGCATCGAAAGCAAGTTTTTTTAAAACTTGCCTAGATAGCCGAGCGGTCTAGCGCGCTGTTCCTACACTGCTAGGAGACAGATTCCGAAGGTCGAGAGTTCATCCCCGGGCTGGGGCGGAAGTGGGTATCCATGTAAAAGTGAATTTCTTTGTGCTTTGTATATCAATATCTCTTCACTTAGGGCAATTATGTTAGTTTAAGAGTTGTTGTAAATTGTGCTTTATAAATACCGGGTAATTATTTTCATTACAACATGTATTGGTAACAATCCTCTGTTAAAACTAATGTCCAAATAACTGCATCTCATTTCTATTCTCAATGACCGTGTGGTGTAGGGCAGCGCCGCGAGAATTCCATCGGCATCGAAAGCAAGTTTTTTGACTTGCCTAGATAGCCGAGCGGTCTAGCGCGCTGTTCCTACACTGCTAGGAGACGAATTCCGAAGGTCGAGGGTTCAACCCCGGGCTGGGGCGGAAGTGGGTATCCTTGTAAAAGTGAATTTCTTTGTGCTTTCTATATATATATATATATATATATATATATATATATATATATACTTCAAGTCTACTGCAATTTCTACTGACTACGAAGGATATATGGAGATAACGAACAGTT